CCTGGAAATGCCAGAAATACCAGAAATTGAAGTCGTCTCTTTTACGGCAGCCACAGCACAAACCAACCAACACGATCCTGCTATTAGCCTCGATTAACTTGGAGAGAATTCAGTCCCCATGATGGCTGGAGCCCGCAGGCTCCCAGCCCCCAAAGCGGCTCCCACTGCCAGTCCAGAGCCGGGGCTCCCCACCCTGTCCCAGGCCCTGACCCCCAGAGTGTCCAGGATAAGGGAAGGGAGAGAGGTTGTCCAGTGGGGTGGGGGGAAGGATCCTGGAGCCTGAGCTTCAAGGTGGGAAGCATCCTTGTCTCCAAGCAGGCTGGAATGGAAGCTGCGTCCTGCCCCCAGGGCCCTGACCCTCCCTCCCTCTGGCCAGCAGGTCGGCCTATCCACAAAGGAGGGCACAGAAGAACCTACTGTTCCCTCCTGACCACGGCGACTACCCTCCGGGACAGCTGGGAAAGCAGGGCCGGGTGTCCCAGGAGATAATTGCCAACCACCAGGCCAATGGGCTGCCCCCAGCCGCCCCCACACACACAGACACCCCCAGTGAGAGACAGAAGGACAGTCACCACCACACAGAGCCCTACACACGGCCCAAGAAAAGGATAAGGTCACACACACCACGCCAGAGCCCCACAGTGTGCATATATACATAGATAAATCAAGTAATTTCTATAACTTTAAAAGATTACATTGTGCTTTCCTCAAAATAACTGTGAGGTAGGTGATGCAAGTAGTATTGTCCTCTTTTTACAAGATAAAGAAACTGAGGCACAGAGGACTTGCCCAGCTAGGGAGTGGTAGGATTAAAATTTAGTTCTCTTAATGCCCGGCCTGGTGTTTGTTTGTTTGTTATTTTTTCAGTGCAGATATAATACACACATTCACTCAAGAAAGAAACCCTCCTGTCACTGATACCCACAGTAAGAGAGTCCTCAGGGACGTGGTTCCTGGTAGGACAGAGACACACCCAGTTACAGGTCCACTCGAGGTTAAGGGAAGTCACAGAACTTACAAACACATCCCCTTCAACATACAAACAGAAACCACATAGGTTCTAGCCCTCACGGAGCCCAGCTTGCAGCAATAGGCATTTTTTTGTTCTTCTGGTTCGAATACTCCTTGTCTTAACATCACTCCAGCTCAGATGGTCTATAAGTCATAAGGTCACAGAAATAAAACTCGCCTGTGGTAAGTAGCATGGGAGGGATGGGTTAGCCCAGCCACTGTGTCCTATTTCCCTTTTTCCTGGCCACCTATATAGGTTGAACTATAATGGTTTCTAAAATCCCTTCCAACTCTGAAATTCTACAATTCTGGGTAAATCAGTTAATCTCTCTGTAGAATAATTATCTTTCCCTAAAATCCTCCCTTGCCTTATCGAGATATGGAGATGTTCCTGGGCTCTCAACACCTATGGGGGTAAGCTCTATCAGGTCTCGTAAAGGTGGGAAGGCTTTGAGTCTGGACCAGTGATGAAATAGGTGCCTATCACCCAAGGACCAACCTACCTAAGTGTTGTGAGCAAGGGAGTGGAAGGGGAGAGAAGGGTAAGTTCACAGAATCATGGAACTTCAGAGTTGGAAAGGACTTTAGTAATAATCTAATCCAATCCACACCCGGGGTGGGGGGATCCCTCTACTACATACCTAACCTGGCCCTTTACAACTAACTCAACAAATAACCATCCAAGTTTGCATGGTATAAACTTGGGATCATTCACCAACCTTGTCACTTTCTAAATGTTCTCCAGTTTTTCAATGTCCTTTCTTTTTTTTCTTTCCTTTTTTAAAAAAATATTATTTATTTTTAGTTAAAACTGCTAATAATTTCTTTTTTGGCTAGGCAGTTGGTGTTAAGTGACTTGCCCAGGGTCACACAGCTAGTGTCATGTGTCTTCAATGTCCTTTCTTCCTAAAATGAGGTGCTCACCCCTCCCCGTTGGTGCTGAGGTGGGGAGGTCTATGGATACAGAGAGTTGCACATGCTATCAGACAAGGTCATGGCATCCACTGGTTTTGCTTAGCTTTTTCTTTGTTACAAGAGAAGGTTCATTTGTGGGGGTGAAGATGAAGATAGATAAGGCTAGGTAGGATATAAAAGCAAAAGTCAGTCATAAAACTTATTTTAAAACGTGGAACCCAGAGCTGAACACAATACTCCAGAGGAACTCTGACAAGCTCAGGAATGGATTAGCTTGCAGGGCTACCATATCACATTATCAGTTCACTTTGAAGTGGTCCACTAAAGCCCCCAGATCTTTTTCAGACAAGCTTCTGTCTAATCATGGGCTCTTCCCATTGTGAAGCCTAATTTTTTTAACCCTAGAGTAAGAAGTTATATTTATCCTTTTTTCTTATCATCTTAGGGTTCTAAACTTGATAAATTTCAGGGAGTCTAAGAACTTAGATGGGGAAAAAATGACATTTTTATCTTAACTAACCTTTGGTTTCCTTTATAATCCTCTGTACTTGATTATATGCATTTAAAAGCATGATTCTGAGAAGGGCTTCACCCATAGGTTTCATCAGACTGCCCAAGCAAGGGACAGACTACCCAAGACGCAGACAAGACTATATTAGCTTCACTTTAATGTTCTAGGTTAAGATCTTTTTGAATCCTGACTCTCTCATCCAGAGTGTTATCTCTCCCTCCCACCTTTGAGTCACTGACAGGTTTGAAAAGGAAGGAGCCATCTATGTCTTTAGCTAGGTCATTGATAAAAACGTTAAAGACAAACAACCAAGCAAAAAGCACAAGGTGAATCACAGATTCCTGGGGCACTCCACTGCAGACCTCCTCCCAAGCTGAATTCATGACATTAATTCTTCGGATGTGGGAATCTGGCCAATCTGGAATCCATCTGGGTTCTTCTCTAGCCCACATTTCTCCAGCTTTTCCACAACAATAACAGCAGAGACTCAAGGAACCCACTGTCTGCACTAGACACCCCTCCACTTTGTCCCTGTCCCCTCGCCAACACCTCCCAAGTACTTCTGGGCATCACATTTTAGGGAGGGCACCGACAAGTGGAGGAGAGTGTCCAGAGGTGGGAAACCAGGATGGGGAAAGGCCCCTGAGACCACACTGTATGAGGCCTGGTTAGGGGAACTGAGGGTGTTGACATGGAGAAAGCCTGGGGCAGGGGCCAAGGGCCAAAGGGAAGGGGGGAAGATCCGAACTAAAAGGGGCCAATTTTGGCTCAATATCAGGAAAAACTTTCTCACAAGGAGAGCTGTCCCGCAGTGAAGTGGGCCGCCTTGGGAGATGGTCTGCTCCCTGTCACGGCAGGGCTTCCAGCCAAGGCTGAGCAACCACTTGACCGGTGTGTTATGAAGGGCCTTGAATTAGACAAGATGGCCACTGGATCCTTTCCAACTCCAAAATTCTTAGATTCTGTAAAAGCAGCCTTTTCGTATCTCTTTCCATGGGCCCTGGGTCAAAAAAGCAAATACCTTTCTCCCCCAGGACACAGAAAGTCAGGAGATACCTAGGATGGGAGGAGGAGCTTGGGGACCTTTCAGGAGGCATACAGTGGGGCAGACAGGGCAATAGGAAGACTTTCGGTCACTGTCCCAAAGGGAGGAACGAAGCGGGAGAGGAATGGGGAAAGAAAAGAAAAGGGAGGCCAGCCAGCACCCAAGTCAGGAAGCAAGAGGCAAACTGCCTTCTACCTCAGCCCATGACCAGGTCCACTCCCCTAAGGACTGACTCAGACACCTTCCTCTTTGCCCTTCCCTCTCCACCACCAATGAAACTGAAGACCCATTAATAGAAAGAGGGCTAAAGTTGAGTGGGAAGAGCTCTGGGTTAGAAGCCTGGCCTTGGCATTCTTTCACTGGCTGGTTGACTCTGGGCAAGTCTCTTCAACTAATTGAGCGTAGGTGTTCTAATCAGTTAAATGGAGATTATAATCCTTTCACTACCTGTCTGGCGGCTATTGTAGTCCAGTCGTGTCTGACTCTTCATGACCCCATTTGGGATTTTCTTGGCACAGACACTGGAGTAAAATTGCCATTTTCTTCTCTAGCTCATTTAGCCGATGAGAAAACTGAGGCAAACAGGGTTAAGTGACTTGGCCAGGGTCACACAGCTAGTAAGTGTCTGAGGCTGGATTTGAACTCAGGAAGACGAGTCTTCCCAGTTCCAAGCCCAGTGCTCTATTCACCACCCTACCTGTCCGGTGGGCATTGTAAATTTTCAAATGCTACGTAAATGTGAGCTAGAAGTATCTTTTGTTATCAAAATGAACCAATCTGATTCAGACGATGCTAGAACTGACAGGGAACTTGAAAGACACTTTTATCCAAGACTCTCATTTTACAAAACAGGAAATCGAGATGCAGGGGTCTTAGGGGAGACTTGCCCAAGGTCTCACAATGCTGTGGCAAAAACTCTTAACTAGTTTTCCAGTGTGTTTGAAGACTGATGGTCTTATATCATATAATGTGCCCCAAGAGAGGCAGTGTAGTATAAAGGTTAGGCCAGCAGACCTAACCTTGGAATCCTGGTCCCCACACTTAGTAACTGTAAGTTTGGACAAACTGCTTAATATCTCTCAACCTGTCTCACCTGTAAAATGGGTATAATATTTACACTGGTATTTTGTGGAAAGTGCTTTTACAGTTGAAAAGCACTATAGAAATATGAGTTATTACTATAGTAACCTCTCTCAGGGAGCCAAGTGTCTTGTAACAAGGGACCCTCTGGAGACAGTGCCTTAACCCAAATAAGTAGCCACATCAGAACTTTTAGGCATTGTAGTAGGCTGGTAGAAGGGGGATATTTTTAAGTAGGTGGCTTTTGGGATCCCTCATGTCACTGTGGAGGTGACCACCAGTCCTTCCTACATATAGATCCAGTCCTGTTTCCCTCCTGACCTTCCTTCCCTAGGTGATATCAGCATAGTGGGCTCTGGGAGACCCTGAACAAAGTGGGGAGGGAGGTTACATAGGGAGAAAGGGACGGACCCACCTTCCCCTTTTATGCCCTAACAGGGACCCGAGAAGCAGCCTTCGTCTACGCCATCTCCTCTGCAGGGGTAGCCTTCGCTGTGACTCGGGCCTGCAGCAGCGGGGAGCTGGACAAGTGTGGCTGTGACCGGACCGTGCATGGGGTCAGCCCGGAGGGTGAGTGCCAGGGGGCAGGGGGAAGGAAAACCTGGGGTTGGGGGGGGTAGGGGAGGGGTTCTATCAGCCAGCAAACCACCAGGAGGGTCCTTCCTGGAATGGCCTTCTTGGGGAAGTGAGCACAAAGGGACCCCCCCCAAGGCAAAGCCTCACCCTTGCCCACTCCGCCCACTTTAGGCTTCCAATGGTCAGGCTGTTCAGACAACATTGCCTACGGAGTGGCCTTCTCCCAGTCCTTTGTGGATGTCCGAGAGAGAAGCAAAGGGGCTTCCTCCAGCCGGGCTCTCATGAACTTGCACAACAATGAGGCTGGAAGAAAGGTAAGTGCTCCCCAGTCCCTGCCCCCTCCCCATGCTCTGAGGCTCCAGGCAGAGGACGGATGCTCCTGTTCCTCTGGGGACCTAGACTGGTGCCATCCCTGACCTGTCGGAGTGGCCCACAATATCCGATCGTCGCTCCTTTCTGACTCTCCACACACTCCCACTATATCCCTCATTCATCTTTGCCTGCCCCAACTTTCTCTTTCATCACCTTCCCAAGCCAGCTGCGCCAGTCTGGGCCCTAGATGTACCCCTCCCCTCCTTCCCTTGGACCCTCAGACATCCCGTCTACATTTCCCTCCACCCAGGCATCCCCCAAACTCTCATTCAGAAGATATTCCCCACCATGTCCTCCTCCCCACAGACATATTCCCATTCCTCAAATACCACCCCCCAATACCTCTAGGCCTCAGTTTCTTTATCTGTAAAATAAGAGGGCTGGACTAGCTGAAAATGGCCAGCTGTAAATCCGATAATGAGAGACGTCTCTGTTCTCTGCTCACATCTGCACGCCGCCTTGTCTTCACCTCCCCTCGGACCCCTAGCTCCCCCGCCTCTCTCTCCCATCGGCACCCGGATGACCCATGCTTTCCTCTCCACCCCTAGGCCATTCTGAACCACATGCGGGTGGAATGCAAATGCCACGGCGTGTCGGGCTCCTGCGAGGTGAAGACCTGCTGGAAGGCCATGCCCCCCTTCCGCAAGGTGGGCCACGTCCTCAAGGAGAAGTTTGACGGGGCCACGGAAGTGGAGCAGCGGCGAGTGGGCTCCTCCAAGGCCCTCGTGCCCAGGAACTCCCAATTCAAGCCGCACACGGACGAGGACCTGGTGTACCTGGAGCCGAGCCCGGACTTCTGCGAGCACGACGCCCGCAGTGGCGTTCTGGGCACCTGGGGCCGCCAGTGCAACAAGACCTCCAAGGCCATCGACGGCTGCGAGCTGCTGTGCTGCGGCCGCGGCTTCCACACCTCCGAGGTCGAGGTGGTCGAGCGCTGCAGCTGCAAATTCCACTGGTGCTGCTTCGTCAAGTGTCGTCACTGCCACCGGCTGGTGGAGACACACACGTGCCGGTGATCCCCGGCTCCCCGGGCCCCGCCAGGGACGCAGACCGAGGAACAGAGAGACGATGGACGGAGGGGAGACATAATTTAAAGGCCACGACTCCCCCCTCAAGAAAAAGATGCTGGTTGTATTTTTTTTAATGTCTCCATAGTATTTATTACAGAGGTCAGAGGCCCAGGCCCAGGGCATGCCCTGATCCCCACCTCTCACCAGCTGATCTGAAGGACACCGGCCCCCCATTAAGCCTCCTCAAGCTAGTGTTTTCTGTGCCTATTGTAGATGCAGACTTTTCAGACTTTCAGGGAGAAACACATACAAATAACCACAACGGCCAGGCTTCCATGCTCCCTGATGTGTCTGTGGGGAAGGAGAGCGACGTGAAGGAAGGCCCCCTAACCCTTCGGGTTTCTTTGGGGAGCCACGGGCAGTGAGCTGGAAGCTGCTCAGAGACCCTCTTTCCTGTCTCAGGAGCCTCTGGAGCGGTAGCAGTGTTCCTGCTGGGGACAGTGGCCCAGATCTAGGAGCCTCCTGGCTGAACTGATGGAGCATCGCATAGCTGGTACCATCCCGCAATCACAGTATGTCGGGGTTGGAAGACACCCTGGGGATCAATGAGTCTGATGCCCTCTGTTGACAGAGGAGGAAACGGAAATCCAGGAAACAGCTTGTCTGAGACCACACAGCAAGTGACCAAGCCGGGGCCAGAGCCCAGGTCTCCCCATTCCAAGTCCAAGGATTTCACTGCCCCGCAACCCCCGTGGAACTACTGACCTACTGACCCCGATGAGAAGAGACCCTGAAGAGCTTACATCAGGGGTATGCGCCCTGAAGGCAGAGCCAGCAGCAGCCCCCGGCCCATCCTACACCCTCTTCCCTCCAAACCTTCCCGTAACCAGAGGTTAAAAGAGGTGAGAGGGATCTCAGAATCCTGGTCTTATACCTTCAGTTTAAAGATGAGGAAACTGAGGCCTGGAAAGGTCAAGCTACTTTCCTAAGTTCACACAGGCAGTAATCCTAATTCACATCTTAGAGAACCTGGATCCTTCCCAAGATGCTTTTCCAATGGATGGGAAGCATAGGGAGGTATCATTATCTCCACTCCAAAGACAAGGAAGGGGAGGCCCAGGAAGGGCCTCTCACCAAAGGTCACACAGTGAGTCCGTGTTAGGGACAGAACCAGGGACAGGTCTCCTGATTTCTAGACCTTCAGTCATTTCAGTCATGCCAGACTCTTCGTGAGCGTATTTGGGATTTCCTTGGCTGAGATACTGGAGTGGTTTATCGTTTCCTTCTCCAGCTCACTTTACATGATGAGAAAACTGAGGCAAACAGGATTCAGTGACTTGCGCAGAGCCACACAGCTATTAAGTGTCTGAGGTCGGATTTGAACTCAGGCCTTCCTGACTTCAGGCTCGGTACTCTATCCACTCTGCCACCAAGCTGCCCTGGTTTCTAGTCCTAAACTTCCATTATACCCCAAGGCTTGGGCATGGATATTTTGGTTCTACCTCTGGCCTCTGGGCCAGCTCTAGGGAGCAGAGGTCGTAGGGGGAGAGGAGAACAAGGGGCCAAAGAACAGACTGAAGACTGGGGCACCGTCCACCCCCAGGCTGAGGGAGAAAGGTTTGCATGAAAGATTGAAAGTTGTTCCCAAGGGATATATTTGCAGCCCAGCCACCAATGCCCACAGCCTACTTAGGAGACGGCGAGCCCTGTTCTCTCTGCCTCCCCTATCTCTTTGGGGGGTGGGAGGGCTGCACAGGGGCTTAGCCAGCATTCAGGCCTCTCTAGCAGGTCAGCATCTGTCCCTCTGCCAAGTGTCCTGTCTGGCCCCTCTCTCCCCCTCCGTGTCCCTTTCTTGGGGTGGGACAGGACAGCCACGAAAGGAATGAGTCAGCAAAGACCATCCTTCACAAAGGACTGACTCCCTTCTAGGCAAAGGGGAAAAAACCATGGGACTGGTACTAAATCCCATCTGAGCCAGGCCTGAAGAGGCCCTGGGACTAGGGAATATGGGGAGAATGGCGAAGGGAGGAACGTTCTGCAGAGAACTAGGGCACATCTGAGATGTGACAACTCAGCTGGACTGTCATCTTTCCCCCAATATCCCCAGCACTCAGGCCTCTGCCTACAAAGAGCAGTGGGGTTCTCCAAAGAGCATCCACTTGAATGGGAACCCCAACAACAGACCCCAGCCCATCCCCATTGAAGGGGCTGCCTGCGATAAATGACACCCTGGGAACCGCGCCTTAAAGAGAACAAACAAAAACCAAACCACTTTCCAACCTGGGTCCCTCTCTTCATCTCTTTTTCTAGGCCCCCCAGCTCGGCCCCTCACCAGGCCAAAGGGGACCTTAAATACAAATTGTCAGAGCTGGGACAGGCCTCAGAACGTAGAATGCCTGAGCAGGAAGGTCTTGTGCCCTCCGCATTTTACAGAAGAGGAAACTGAGGCCCAGAGAGAAGTGATTTCCCAGAGGTCACAGAGCAAAGAGTTCGAAGCCTGGCCTTCTCACGCCCAGCCCGGGTGCCTTCCCCTGATGCCTCTAATTCTAGTTCAGGGGCTCTGAACTGTGTGTTCTCAGCTCTAGCCTGAGGCATGTAGACAGAGTCTTCCCAGGGCCTTGCGGTTTCCTGCCCCACGTTCCCCAGCTTGCTCAGGGAGGGTCAGCAACCTCAGGCCCTGGGCCAAGTTTTCTGCTCATTGTCCATCTAGGAAAGAGGCCAAAGCTGAAGGAGATGCTGCAGATAGACGCTCTTGGTGCACGGCCCTGGCTTGGCTGTGGATGAAAGATGGACTACGTAAATGTCACTGCAACATCCCGAGCCCCCTCAGCTCTGTCTGGCTCCGCTCAATTGTGTCCTTCGGCCCCAGAAGGGGACGGGGGCAGGGAGGGGATTACTTATTTATGGAGCAGTCGGATGCAGCCAGCAGTGAGCCTGCGAAAGGAGTGTCTGGGACCTCCCTTCCTTCAGACAAAGGGGTCTGTCCGATGGGCACCACACTCAACACCAATGAACTCACCAAGGTCTACTCCGTGGATCAAAGTCTCCCCTGCCATGGAGAGGTCATCTAGTCCCCATGATGCCTGGACTCCTCTCAGGTGCCTACGACCCCACTCCCAAGCAACCTGAAGTGGGACCCTGAATGTCTGCTTCCCACGGTCCATGGAGACCTCAGGAATGCACCTGGTTTAGGGCAGATCTCACGTACCTTCCCTACACACAATCTCATTTCCCCCCTGTCAATGATTCCCTTATGTACCAGCCCACTTCCATTGTGTGCCCCAGCCCACCCTCCACTCTAAGGTGGTAACCCAATCTCCACAGAGGTGAGAGATGAGGTACCCACACTGTCTGAAGACCTGGGCTGACCTCCACCCTTCCTTGGATCCTGAAGAGATGGCAGCCATGTCCAGTCCTGCCTGCCCATGCCTGGGAGCTTTTCTCCCAAACTGTGGCCTAGGTGGGGCTAGTTCATGCCCTGCAGTCCCACACCAAGGTCATTACCCTCTCTCCCCAGCTCTGTTTCTGCCAACTGGTCCTCACAAATCAAGATACGGTCAGATTTTCCAATGACTTCTCAATGCCTGGTGGGTGCCCACTCCACCAATTTCCTGCACGGATGGGGACCAAGTGAAAGGGCCTAGCCAAAGTACAGGATACATCTATCCTCTGGCCTGGGTCCATCCAAGGAACTCCTTGCTGTGTTCAAGGAATTGGCATAGTTTGTCTGACACCAACGCCCACCCATGCCTTGTGGAAAGGGGAGGGAGGAAGAGAATGCTCCATTTCCTGGAAGGGGTACCATAAAATCTGGATGCTGCTACCCTCCTCCTGCCGTCCCCTCCTCCTAAGGATCCCAAAACCTTGTTTTTATACTTAATTGCCAGGCTAACCTGACAATTCGGGGGGGAAACAGTCGGACTCACATTGTAGTGGTGTTCACTATAAAAATGGTTATTTCTTTAACTAGGGTGTGTGGCTGTGACTTTGTCGGGGTCTGGGAATGTGGCAGGACAGAAAGCAGGCATCAGACCTGACCCTGAAGAATCCTATCGGGTCCAGAGCTGGGCTGTAGATCAGAAACCCAGGCCTGGGCTTGATCAGCAGTGACAAAGAATCCACCTTGATGTAACCTGAGGGACCCCTCCCCAACCAGCTTCATTCAGCTGCTAATGCCTGAACTTCTACCCTTAGTGAGTCATTCTTTGTACACAGAGCACTGTCTCCTGCTTTAATGTGGGGGGGGGGGGGGGAAGAGCTGCTCATTTAGTGAAGAGAGGTAGTCCAGGATGCTGGAATCGCCCCGTTGTATAGAATGAAATTCTCTCTCCCGCCTCCAGAGCGGAGAGGTACCAGTGGACTGAGTGCCTGGCCCAAATCAGGGCTTATAGCTTGATTCATGTGACATTAAAGAGCAAAGGGCTTGGAATCACCAGACTTGGATTCGAATTCCAGTTCTGACACACAGGAGGCAAGGTGATGCAGTGGGACAGCATGACTTACCTGGAGCACTGGAAGTGATTTCTGAACAGAGCTCAGCCTGACGTCTGGCACATAGCGGGGGCTGTAGAAATGCTTCTTGACTGACTCTAGAGCCGGTGTTTCCTTTGATGCAGGAATGATGGTAGCTCCTTACCACTCTAGGGGGCTTCACGTGCAGGGCCCCCGAGAAGGAGGCAGAGCACAGCGGATTAGACCCCTTCTCTAGTGGGGAAGGACTTCAGGGCCACCGTGTTCGACCCTTACGGCACAGGAATGCCCTACCCTGTACCCCTGACAGGTGGTCATCCAGCCTTGGCTTGAAGACCTCTGGGGAAGGAGGACTCCCCTGCACAGGCAGCCCATTCCCCCGGGGCTGTGCCGAGCTTCCTGATCGAAGCCTTTCCTGAAGTCACCGAAACCTGCCTCCGCTGCTTCCCCCCCACCCCCTCCCTCCACTGCTCCTGGCTCTGCCCTCGGGGGCCAGACCCAACACCTATAAACCTCCTCCATTGGATGACCCTTCTAGAACCTGAACACTGCTATCATTTCTCCCCAGTCTCCTCTTCTCCAGGATAAATATCCTCAGTTCCTTCAAATGGGCATCCAGTGAATTAGGCTCAAAGCTCCTCACCATTTGGGTTCCCCTCCTCTGGACCCAGTCCAGATTTTTACTGTGCTTCCTCAAAGACCTGAACACAACACCGCAGATGTGGTCTGACCAAAGGGGAGGGCAGCAGGACAATTCCCTCCCCAGCCCTGCACACGACTCATTCCTTAATGGGACCTACAATCACATAGCTAGCTAGAGGCCAAGGCAGACACCTAGAACTCGGGTCTCCTGACTCCTGGAGTAAAAGGCTGTTTCCAATTTCCATTCATGCATAAGAGTGTGCTTCCCTTCACACACTCCAGTCCCGAGCCTTCCCCTGAACTCCATCCCACTCCACATTTCTGCAGGATCCTCTGCACCCCCATCCCCCACAGCAAAATGGAAGTTCCTTCAAGGAAGAGACTATTTTTCATCATTGTCTTTTCTCTCCCGTGCCTAGCACAATGTAGTGCTGAATAAATAATTATAACTAGCATTTACATAGTACAGTAAAATTTGCAAAGAGCTTTACAAATATTATCTCATTTGGTTCTCACCATAACCCTGGGAGATAGGGACAATTATGATCCCCATCTCAAGGAAGAGGAAATTGAGGCAGGCTTAGAAATGAAGTGACTTGCCCAGAGTCACACAGCTACTAAGTGTCCAAGGCTCAAATTTAAATTCAGGTCTTCCAGGTCCAGTGTTCTATCCACTGCGCTGTCTAGCTGGTATTCAATATTCAGTTCAAAGGTCTGTGGAATGAATGATTAGATGAAAGATGAACGGTCACATTCCTTCTAGGAAAGTGTAAAACTGGGCCAGCATTCTTCTCCAAAGGATGAAGGATCTTTCAAAACTGGCTCATCGTAAGTAGTGTATATAAAAAGGAGAATTCTACATTAAGCCACAGTCCATTTCAATTTGATCAACAAGCAGTTATCAGGTTGTTACTACCTACCAGGGACTATGCAAGCTAAACACTGGGGGTCAAAGAAAGGCAAAACGCATTCCTGGCCATCAAAGAAAGAAACTTCCCATGGGCGAGACAAGATGTAAATAACGAGATCACACAAGATGTGTGCAGGGTAGATGAAAAGCCATCTGACAAGGAAAGACACTCACATATGGAGGGACCAAGAAAGGTCTCCTGCAGAAGGTGAGATTTAAGCCGAATTGTG